TTTGCCCTGATGAATCAAAAGTAGTAAAATCAAGTTTTAAGATCTATTAGGCAAAAGAGCAGTCAAGAATCTTCTCCTGTGCAAACACTCACCTACCCCTCCCTCCATAGCCCATATTTCACTCTGCTGTCATATCACCTCCTCAAAGCTCATGATATCCATCTTTCTCAGGGACCTCTCCTTTGCCCTCTTCCCAGAAAATGGTGTTTAAAATCCTAAGCCTGGCCCTGGCCGGTTTTGCTCAGTGGTTAGAGCATCGGCCTGCAGACTGAAGGGTCTTGGGTTTGATTCCGGCCAAGGGCACGTACCTCAGTTGCAGGCTCAATCCCTGGCCCTGGTTGGGGCTCATGTGGGAAGCAACCAATCGATGTGACTCTCTCACATCGATCTCTCTCTCTCTCTCTCTCTCTCTCCTCCTTCCACTTTCTTGAAAAGAAAAAAATATCCTCAGGTGAGGATTAAAAAGAATAAATTAAAAAAAATAAAATCCTAAGCCTGGAACTCGGGGTCTTCCCTGAGCAGGGACAATCATGCATGAGGACTGGTGAGCAGTGACCAGCAATGAGTGGCAAGGCCTGTACATGCTTTGGTGCCAAGTCTGGCCCTGGGAGCCTTGTGTGCCCTGGGTGGAGTGGGGAGGAAAGTGGTGAGAATGACTGAGCCAAATGTCCCACCAATCAAGTGGGATGAAGGCTCAGAGTTAAAAGTGAGTTGATGTGTTGAAAACAAATGTCCGCTACTTATTGCATTCCTGCATTTGGAGACAGAGATCTCTCCTTGGTTCCCCAGCATGACCCCTTCACCTTCCTTTCATGTTCGCCTGAGCACTTTTCTACCGCACCAGCTCCTTTCTTGTATTGTGGTTATTGATTTATCCTGTGGCCTGTTGCCCCCTGCTGGATGCAGGGCAGGCTGGTGGGCATGTGCACAAGTAAATGTTAGCTGAATGAATAAATGATGGGCAGTCAGAGACATGAATGCAGAGAGCAGAGAGGCTCTTTATGTTCCTTGCATTCAGAAGAGCCCCAACCTGGGCAGTCAACTAGGATAAACCCCTGTAGTGTGAAAAGATGGAAAAGCAAATAGACTAGGGAGACAACAGGCTAGCAAGGTGCACCCCTCCCTGGGAGCAAAGCCAGGGGATCAGTCCTGCAGCTCCACCTGGCCTACTGACAAACTGCATGGTGGGATCACAAATATGCTCATTACATTTGCAAAGGACGCTAAATGATGTGGCTTTGTTAATCACCTGACAGGAATAAAACTCAAGATGACCTTGACCAATTAGGGAAATGGACCTATGGAAGTCAGTTGAAAATCTATGGGGAAAAGACCATGTCAGTGGTTGGAGAGCTGGTCTTGAAATCTGTAGACCCAGGTTTAACCTCACCAGACCTGTATCCTTTCACTGATACAGGGACCAGCAGTGGCCACGAGGGCCCAGTCAGCCGGCACAGCCTGGGTGGAGGTTCCTTGGGCCAGGTCCCACCATAGGCTGGCCTCGGATACTGCAAGAACTCTCTTCCTCATGTCAGTGGTTGGAGATGAGGCCAAGTCTACAAAAAGGTTCATCATTTCATTGTTGGTTCACTAGGGCCTCTGGATCATCCTCTGCGGTTGACAGAGAGTTGGGAGATTCCTGTCTCAGGTGACAGGGTCTGGTTCAAGGCCCAGAGAGTTGCCATGCCTCTCCCTCAGCCCCTGGTCTCCATCATTCAGGTGGCAGTGGGTGTCCACAGAGAAGGAAAAGAGCCCCTGCAGGTGCCTCAGATGGCTGGTGGGGTATGCTCTTGGAGGGGTACAGGGTCAAGACTCTGCCAGTCCTACTGGTGAGACCTGGTCCTGAATTTGGGGCAGGGATGGCAGGGTGAAAGGACAAAGGATTCAGTGCCCAGCTCTGCCACCCCCAGGCTGCTGTGTGACTGACCATGAGGCACACACCCTTCCTCTGTGAATGACTACGGGTTGCAAAGTTTCAGATAAACATAAAGGCCTGTGCAGAGCTACCAGGCCCTTCATAGTCGCCCCAAACCATGCTGTAACCAGTAAACTTGAGCTGTGGGCCAGCCCCCAGCACTAGCCCCACTGGCTGGTCGAGGCATCTTCCCACCAGCCTCTGCTTCCCTCCTCCCCCAGAGGACCCTCCGGCCCTACCCTGCCTACCTCTCTCCTGCCCCACACACTCTGGCTCCTCACCAGCCAGCCCAACCCCCTGGGGTGGGGAGCATGTGCCTGGAGGCCTGGGGACTCTGTTCACCACCTCCTGAAGCTTGTCAGCACGGCTGCCTTGCCTGTTCTGCAGCTTCCTCAGCATGCGCTTCACGGCGGGTCCTGGAACCTGGTGCTCTTAAACAGGCGGCCCGGGTGCCAAAGTACAGCATGTACTGGGACCTCTTCCCCTTCCTGTGCAGCTGGAACGAGGGTCACCATATTTGTCATGGGAAGTTAGGGGAGGGAGTAAGGCTACCACAAGGAACTCCCACGCCACAGCCCCCCAACCTCTTCCCAAAGCCCATTTTAAGGGTTCAGAATCATCAAAGATGTGGCAAGAGGGAGAGGAGAGGAAGCCTGGGTCCCTAAAAGCAAGTAGGAGATATTTACAAGGGGAAAGCAGCAAGAGATTCTTGCCCAGGGTGTTCAGTATCACCAAGGGGCATGGAGCTTGCAGCCTGCTTTGACACATACTTTGGGACTTCTTTCTTTCCTCTAGCTCTGGACAGGGGGCAGAAGGTGTGGGTCTCCCACTCCCAACCCCGGGGCTCCTAAGAAGAGCAAGGGGAGAAGGGGTTGGGATGCAAATGGTACCACACCATCTCCTCTTGAGTTTTTTTGGTGATGTTGATGACAAAGTCCCAGGTGGCCTCCATGAACTGGTTCCATACATCCGGGCTGTATCTCATACAACTGCAGGAATGACTTTGCCACGGTCTCACTGTAGAACTTGTCTGCAGAGAAGGAGGTGGGCATCAAACTGTCCTGGGAGCAGCCTGTCCCTGCCTGGTCCCCTTGTCTGATCCCATGCTCCTTTGGGTCTCAGCCCCACCTGAGCTCAGTTCACTTTTGCTCCTGAGCCAAGGCAAGAGCTCAAGTAGGGAAGGTCCGGGGCCAGTCCATCTTGTGCCCATGACCAAGAGAACAGCAAAGCTAGGTGAAGCTATAAGCTAGTCACAATCTGGTTTCATATTGTGACAGCAGGGGCTAAAGAGTCAGCCAGGGAATGTTGGAGCTGGAAAGCCTCACCTACTTTTTGGTTCAACTGTCCCCATTTTACAGCTAAGGAGACTGAGATCCAGAATGGTGACATATGACCTGGTTCACACAGCTAGTTAGTGACAGAGATAAAAGGACTTTTGTTTTATAAGAAAGAGAGAAAGGGGGGGGGGAGGTTGTTGGGAATCAAACCCATCACCTTCAGGTGTGTGGGATGACACTTCAACCAACTGAGCCACACTGGCCAGGGCTCGGCTTCTTTCTTCAGACTCACTTTCCTCCATACCCAGACTCCCTCTCCTCCTGCACCCCCTTCACTCACCCTCCTCGGCCCAGTGCACCCACAGCCTCACACCCCTTCCCATGAGCTAACATTATTACGAGGGAAACTGACCAAACAACCTTCCAAATATATTATAATCAAAGTGTATTTAAAACAAGAAAAAAATCAGTGGCACTTCTGGTTAAACTGACTAAACTCTCAGGGAAGTCCCTCCTGCTTCAAGCGTATAGATATGTTTAATAAAAACATAGTATTTTTTTATTACCTATAGTCACCATGATGTACATTATTACAACCCAGCACTTATAACAAGAAGTTTATGCCTTTTGACCACCTTCACCCATTTCACCCACCCTCCCACCTTCCATTTCTGGCAATTACCAAATTGTTTTATGTTTTTTTTTTAGATTCCACATATAAGTGAACTCATACAGTATCTGTCCGTCTTTCTCTGTCTTATTTCATTTAGCACAATGCCCTCAAAGTCCATCCATGTTGTTGCAAATGTAAATATATATATATAACCACAGCTTCATTATCCATTCATCCATCAAGTATAGGGGTTGAGAGGGGTGGGGAGATCAAAGAAACTGTCCAGCTACCATAATCACCTTTGACTCATGTAAGTAAGAAAAATCTGGTCACCCAGGAGCCCATGTCCGGCAGGCACAGATGGGAAGGGCTCAGGCTTTAGGCCACCAGTAGTCTAAATGCTGGAGCGGCCTGTCTTCCCACTGTCAGCACCTCTTCTGCCACCTTCTGGATAGACTGGGCCTCTTCCCCTTCACCCAAGGAGGCAGCAACAGCAGTCTGAACAACTGAAATGTTTCAAAAGGCCTAGTGGATAGGGCTGTCAGGCCGACCGCAATGTTCTGTTCCTCTGGCCCATTCTGCAGCTCGGCCTTGGGAGTGAGATGCTGGAGGCCTCACACTGCCCACATGCTCTCACAGGCAGCATGAACCTCTGCAGTTCAGGGAGACAGGAAAGGGGCTGATGTGACAATGACCTTTGTGTGGCAGAGAAAGAGCTTTCAAAACATCAGGCTGCGGAGGGGGTGATTAAGCCTATTGAGGGAGAAGCTTGGAATTATTTAGAGAATATGTTTATAAATTCCATTGTCCTACGTAATTGTAAACTTCTACTCCACATCCTGTCCCATGGAGCAGGCCGGTATAACCAAGTTGACATGCAACATACACACAGTGAACTAAAGGGTGTTGGGGGACAGATGTTAGGGGCTGGGGTCAAGGCACCCACAAAGCTGGGAAGAGGCTCAGGACCAAGGGTCCTGACAGAGGGGGCCAGGCTGGCAGTGGAAGCCTATGGCCCTGGAAAGCTGACCAACTTCCATTTGGCCAGATTCCAGGTTTGGCATTTACATGTTTAAAAAAACATCTAGTCCTGTTAACAGGAAGAAGGATCCACAACTCAGGACAGTGTGATCCTGTTCAAACTATGTGCTGAGAAAAATAGACTGGAAGGATATACACCACATGTCAACAGTGCTCCTCTCTTGGTGTTGATATAAAGGGCTTTTATTTCTTTATAGTTTTCTGGATTTTACAAATTTTCTACAATAAACGTAGTTAAAAGTTATAAAAATGTGTTCCTCAAAATGATAGTCCCTCAAACCCACATTGGCCTTCCGAGGGGAGGCTCAGGGCGAGGGCATGTGCTGGGGGGACAGGTAGGGCAGCACTGGGCAGTTAATTCCTGGGTGGGCTCTGGCTACTGCCAAGCTCCAGCATTTAGGGCCCCTCTCCAGCTGGGGCAAAGGGACCTGGCCATGGGCCCCATGGCCAATACTCAAGTGGCTCTGTCCACTTATACAAGAGGACATGGAGCTGGTACAGGTAGGAAGGAGCTTGAGGTGGCCACGAGGCCAGTTCCGCACCCTTAGCGAGTCAGGCTCACTCAAGGCATGTCCCCCAAGAGAGCCTCCAACCTGGGGACCTGGCCATTTTTGGGAACAGCTTGGGTAGGACTCCCAAAGCACATGGAAATGTGAGGCGGGAAGTCCCGAAAGTCTGCTTCCCAGAGTCCTCCTGGGCTGGTGCCCAGGCCAGGCAGGGGCTGACTGCCAAGGCAGGACATCGGCTGGTTGCCTGGGCTGGAGGGAAGACAGGCGTGGGCACTGCTGGGTGGTGCCCGGGCCAGAGCTCTGGGGCACTTTCCCAGGCCCTTCTTGGAGGAGGGTGAAGATGCCCATTGAATGACCAGCCTGAGTGCCAGGAGGAGGGAGAGCGTCCCTGACCCTGTTCCTGGCTTCCCAGCGAGGGACACAGACTCAGATGGGAGGGCAGGACCTTTAATTGTATTCAAAGAGAGACTGGGAGGGGGTTCCTTGTTAGGTGGCCTGGTGCCCAGGGGCTGGGGGGAAGGGGTCACGGTGGCTCTGGGTGTGGAAGACAGATTCTCAGCGCAGGGCTGGAGGCAGGAGGGGAGGGACAGGGCAGGAGGAGGAGGAGGGTGGGCTAGGGGGAGCTGTGAGAGGAGTACAGGGTTTTCAGGCCACCTCAGGTCCCTATCCCGGTGTCTCTGTGGCAGGTGCTCCCCAGCTGGCCAGCACGGCCTGCTCATCTCAGGAGTGTCTCAGCTCCACCTCAGAGCCAAACTGGGGCCCACGGTGGGGCCGGTGGATGTGGTGGTGGCGGATGCTGAAGAGGCGCTGGGTGAGGCCCAAAGTGGCCACCAGCAGGGCGACACCCAGGAAGAGCAGCACCCACTGGCCCACGCGGGCCTGCTGCTCCTCTAGGTTCATGCCCAGGAAGTTGACGCGGCCGTTGCCTGCGAAGGAGCCTTCCGAGCGAGCTGGGCAGAAGCAAGGAGAGCAGGGCAGTGGGCAGGGGGTGGCA